ATTTAGCAACTTAAAGACCATCTCAAAAGAAAAGAAAAGAAAAGAAAAGAAAAAGAGCTGGGGAATGTAACTCAGTGAAAAAGCCCCAGATTCAATCCCCAGTATCACAAAAAAAAAAAAAGAAAGAAAAAGAAAAGAAAAGAAAAAAGTGAAAGTTCTGGGTTCCCTAATATGTTTGAGATGAGGGTGGGGGGTGGCTTTGTAGGCCTGCAGAAAGGGTCTAGAATAAAGGGGTTTCCCTGAACCCAAGGCAATCCATTTAAAATTGCCTAATCAGACCATTAAGCCTATTAGGTAATTAACCCCCCAGGGTGCCTTCCCATCCATCATCCTGGCCCCTCCTGAATTCACTTTCTCCCCTGGGCTCACAGAGGTGTCCTCCTTCCACCCTCCCCTCAAACCTGTCACCGAGAAGAGATGGGCTCTTTATCTTGGGAGAGGTGGGGAGGGAATTCTCACTAATCCTAGGACAATATCCTCTCTCTCCTCAATTTCATTCCCCACTTTTTGTGCCCGGTGTCCCCCACCCCACACTAGGGATTGAACCGAGGACCTTTGTACTGAGCCCCACCACTTTAAACTTTTTATCTCAGACAGCAGGGTCTCACTAAATTACCCAGGCTGGACTCGAACTTGCCATCCTCCTGCCTCAGCTTCCCAGAGTGCTGAGATCACCGGCATGTGCATCCCTAGCTTTCACTTGACAGAGGAAGATACGAATTAGGTATTCATCTTCCCTGAATAAGACTGGGGACTTCCCCTCCCCATTCTTTTCCTCCTCTCTCTCTGGCCCTTCTCAAGCTGGAACTGAGAGCTTCCGTATGAAATGGCAGAAACCACCTGAGACTGGAGTGGGAATTGTGTCACTGGCAGAGATGTCTGACTGGGGGCAAGCTGCCTCATTCTTTGGATCTCAGTTTTTTCACCCATAAAATGGGGGTCATTCTAGCACGGCCTTTCAGGGTGACTGATTCACTAGAGGATGAAATGTGAAGTCCTTAGGATGATACTGGGCGCAGAGTACTTGAGAAATGTCAAATGACAATGTTGTCATTATCATTATTACCCACATCAGGGACACAAGAAAAATGTTTATCACAGTGTCTAGCACAAAGCAAGTGCTTTACAAATGTGGAAACAACACTGGAGGTGGGTGAAAGAGGGGACACCCCACTTCCTTTTACCCCAAGCTTCCTTGCTTCTCGGAGGAAGAATGTCCTTGCTCCGGCTCTGATACAAGAGAGACTTCAGGGACTGGGGATGTAGCTTAGTGGCATAAGTGCTTGCCTGGCAAGCCTGAGGTCATGAGTTCGATTCCTGGTACCAAAAAAAAAAAAAAAGAGAGAGAGAGAGAGAGACCTCGTCTCTGTTCTCCTGCCTCAGCATCTCTCCAACTCATTTCTTTTTCATGCTGCCTTGAACTTTGCCCTTCCCTACAAGTCTCTATATTGTTTCCTTCCTTCTCTCCTTCCTTCTTCCCTTCCCTCCAACAGGCCTTTCCTGACCACCTATGATGTCAGAGGGCTTGCACTGAGTG